TCTGCCAATTCACCACATAGCGCAACGGCTAGCTAATTTCTTCGGCGAGTATTTGTCCTCACACCCGACCAGCTGCACTCTACTGGTCACAACTTCTCACTAAAAACCAGGTAACTACCTATCTGAATAGGGCTAATCGCCAGAGATATTCAAGTATTGGTTTGTAGGGATTTAACTGATCGATTACAAGATTTCATCATGAACTGACGTTGGTTAGAGAACCAATGGAAAATTCATACGAACTGTGATCAAGATTTGACCGTATAGTTGCAAAATAACTGAGCGCTGAGTGAGAAGTAGACATTTATAAAATCATATTTTTAAAATCTCAGTGAAACTGAAATGATTAATTCCAACATTTTGTTCATTAAATTTTGATGACTGTTTCATGGTTCATGATTGGACAAAGTTTCAAAAACGAGAGATGTCCCTTTTTTATATAAACCTCTGTTATGTTAATTTCGATTAATTTCCCTGAAGAAGTTCAGACCAGATTGCCGGACGAAACGTTGGAATTAATCATTTCAATTTCGCTGAGATTTTACAAATATAATTTTATAAACCAATGGGAAACCTGGGAGTACTGGACAACTGTGGCTTATTGGTATACGAGCTGGCCTTGTGACCAGAAGGTCCTGGGTTAGAACTCCACTAGGGTGGATGCGTAATGCCAAAGAATCCCAAAGCAGCACGAAATAGCTGTCCAGTACTCCCAGGTTTTCCAGTGGTTCTCTTACCAATGTCAGCTCATGAAAAAATCATGTAACCAATTATTCAAATCCCTACAAACCAATACTTGATATATTTTGGTTTTATTCAAAAATTTATTTCATCAATAGTATTTGGTCTAAATAATACATGACACATTTCAAAACATGAGAACGGTTAGTGATTTTATGAAGCTTCCTGTTGTAATCACATCAGTTATGCGATGAACAAAAGAAAGTGACATGATAAGGTCATGAAATCATAAAGTGACTAAAGAATAATTCGAAGGCCGGTGGATAATTCACGTAAGCATTAATCAACCTCACTAACCTTTATATAGTCAGACAATACAGTTGTTGTGGTCTCAAGAGGCAAGGTGATGCGAAAAAAATGACCAAATAATAACCAAATACATCCTGTAGTTGATGTTCACATATACGGAGACCATTTCCGTTCTCACATCAATCTAATAGTCGACTTTTAGTGTATCTTGTCATGGATTGACTCTCTTCATTATTACTATGAATTTATTTGATACCTAGAAATGTCCTGAACTTCAATATGAACTAAATTCTCATTAAATTTGGAAATGTTTATTTTTTTCCCGGTGACCAATATACCTATTCTGATGTATAGCTTCAGAATGTTTTCCGGTTAAAAGCTACCTATACCTTAAATGTCATCTGTTTTAAAGTATGTTGGAAGAGTTTGAAATTACTCTACATCCTGATCACAAATAAAAATTCATATTTCCTAATGAATTGAAAACAGAATGTTATATTAGATGGTTGGAGGCAATCGGTCACAGGAAACCTTGAACCTAGGTTTCATGCTAGTTGACACTTACCAGTCAGCAAGGCGTATCTGCAATCTTTAAAGAACTCATATCCCTTGTGGGATTCGAACCCGCATCATTCAGTGCTGCAGTGAGAGAAGTGACCACTGAGCTAGCTATCCAGGCTCTAATATCATCAAATCAATGTGCACAGTGATGGCGAGCTACCTAGTGGCATTGTGGCCACATCGCAAACCTGACTGATAGAATCCAGTCTGCACCAAAGAAAGGACTTGACACATCATACCAGTTACTAGTGTCCAATCAAAGTACAGAATGTTATTTTCGCCAGCGTCTCGTGATGAAATACTATTTTTGATAGCTTGATCACAGTGAACCAGAATTAGAAATCTCAACTTATACATGATAACCTTACAACCGTTATTTATCTGCGTGAAGCAGTTCTGTGTAATCAAATAAACTACTTAATTGATGAGGATCAAAAAATTGAGCTGTAGATTGTTGAATTTGATGAATATATAAGCCAGAGAACCACATGTGTTTGTTTATGTGATGAAATGTTCTCATCAGATATGCATTGATAGTGTTTGTTTGAGAAAGAAGTGTGTTGGATTTAAGTGAAATTATTATTCCAACTGTTTAATACCGGGATTCCATTTTGTGTGATCTGCTTCAACCAAGAAATCTTCTAGAACCCATGACAAAGTTTTCCAAATTATCAAACATGAAGTGGATTCGAACACCTATGCTTCATGTCTGAGTTGAAGCTAAGACTGTGTAAAACTTCTTGAAGCATGCTGTTTACTCAACACTTACACTCTTACCTTAACTCTCATAGTGTTTAACCGTTACAATGATACACCGCTTGATTCGATTGAAGAGTAACCTCATTCATCCTTGCTGCTCGGTAAGCAATAATCTATGAAGTATAGTTTTTATTTTTATTTTATTTTTGATTACAGCTTGATTCCACACTGTATTTCTGGTACAAGTATGGAATTTTCAGCGTGGATATCGGTAGCCCAAAATTCGCAGGCCGACCATAGATATCAGGTGTGCGTCGGCGAGGGCTCGAACCCCGGACCATGTGCATGGTCGGCGAGAGTCCTAACCACTGTGCCACCGACGCACAAAGCGTGTGTTGGAGGTGGGATTCGCACTCACGCTCACATCGTGGACCAGAACTTGAGTCTGGCGCCTTAGACCGCTCGGCCACCCTGACCTCAGTTAGGTGCTCAGTATTCATCTAGGATACATTTCCACGAAAAACGTGAGCTTTCCTTAAGGCGTGTTCTGAGACTACGAATCAGTTGATATGTGATGTAGGTATTTGGCATTTAGACACTAAATTATGAATTTGAACTAAACAAAGCTCATTCGTATCATCTGTCTCAAAATGGTAAGCAAAGCTTCTGCATGGGAATACACATGTTTTCTACAGGTGGTGGTACATAACTCATACTTATGAAGTGTGGTAAGAATAATAAAGAATTGAATGACTGACTGTTTACCTACCCTTATTAGCTGAGTACAGGTTTTTGTGAAAGAACGACGAAATCGGGAAGATGTGTTCCACTATATTATATATGTATATATATAATATAGTTGGTTAAATGAAAAGTGTAGAACATTCCCTTCAATTCCTGATCAGGTTGTAACCATTTCCTCGCAACATCACAATTCGAACACTTCATTTTCTTATGTGAGTCGGTGATACTGTCATGAAATGTTGCATTCTGGAGAAGTATCCACTGTGTAACGGTTGCAATGTGATGTCATAGTTGCTTTGAAAGTCTCATTTCATAAATGTATAGGATTTCAGTGAAGTTGTCTGTCAGAAGCGAATCGTTGGAAATAGAGATGAGAGTAAGATGTGTCTCTCCTACTATTGACAGTGGTTTCGTGAATGTGATGGAGTGGATCATGTGGAAGACTGAAGGGGAAGAGAGAGAGAGAAGAAGAGACTGGTAGGAAGAATGCACGACTACGTCGAATTAGCATGTTGACTGTAGGAGATGTCAATTTATGTCTGATGCCACACAATCTCGGTGGTGTACAGGTGGGAGGCAACAATTTGTCAGGATGGGTATGTCACTGAAGACAGCCATTCGAGTGAGCATAGAAAACGCACAGGTGATGAAGCTAACTAACCACCACCAGAAACAACAGGCAACATATACTATCAAAATAACAGTTCTAAGTGATATCATTCCTTTCATTTATCTAGGTAGCAGCATTTCATCTATAGGTGGGGGCACAGAGGCGGATCTCATATTCAGTCAGCGTCAAATAGGAAAAGCGAGGCAGACCTTTATTATTCCAAAATCTGTGTGGACATCTACTGCACTTGGCATAAGGAAGAAAGTTCGGAATTCAACATTGATTTCAAATTAGTGAGTGCTTCCATTCAGAGCGAATGTTTCAACAGGAGGGTTTTCGACAGACTGCTGCAGAGTCTCATTAACAGATGTTTTCGCTGGCTGTTTAAGGAAGATCAGGTGACTAGTCAGAAGCGATTGGTAACAAAGGACCCTAGCAAGGAACTAACCGGAAACCTACTAGCCTGAATGGGAAGTGAAAAGTTGGGCTGAGAAAATGACAGAGTTGGGATCGTTTGGGGAGGAGATTAGAACTGATGAGCAACCGTCAAGTTGGCTTAAGTGAACTGTGAAGAAAAACAAGCGCCATGCACCATCAAAGGTAGAAATGTATTTTTTCTAAGCAGCGTTTTCTCAACTGAAGACGATAGCGTAGATGAGGATCTCAAAGCCAGTTAGGAATAGAAACGTCAAATTGACCTTCATTATTGTGAAACCAGTGCGGAAATCTACAGCACTCAATATAAGGAACAACATCCGGATTTCCAACTCTAACATAAAATTGGTCACTTCCTCTTTATGCTTCAGGGAGTTGGTGAGTGTGTCAGCATAAGCATTCCCAACAGGTTTCAGACTTTTATCAACAGCTGAAGACCGGATTAGCAAAAAGGAGCTCTGACAATGAACCAACCAAGAACCTTCTGCCCAACGAATATTCCGACAGAAGGAGAGATGGATAGGGCATACGCGGAGGAGACCATTTAACGACAACTTGAGCGTAGACCTTGAGTGGACCTCAAAAGGAAGCAGTGAGTCGGATGTCCGAAAGTTACATGGAGCACATCATATAAGGAGGAGCCGGAAGCTTGTGATCAGTCCTTTAAAATACAGGGGAGAATACAGTGAAATGAAGACGTGGCGTTGAAGACTTATGTTTCCCTCTGAATGTCTCTTCCACAATGATAATTTAAACTTAGCAATTTGTAGGTTTAAGCGCCATCGTATGAACTATATGCGTTGCATAGTGACACGCTTTAGTAGGAATAAAGTCTGCCATAAAGTAAATCATGCCATAGATGTTTCTTCTGTATCCTCCTTCCTTAGCTAATTATTAAATATTTAAAACTGTTATTCTTATCTTCGAAGATCAAGAAAGTGCCACATTTTATTAGAATTCATGTGTATTTAACAGTTTTTTTGTTTGTTTTCTAAGCATGGTTCTTGTACAACAATCTGTTTTGTGGGTAATTTATGTTATTATTGAATGAATGGCCAATTGAATTTTCACCAGATATTAATTATCCCAACATGAAGAATTTACCGCGTTTTTTTATTCTACGTGTACAGTCTTCAACACACTCTGGAGATGTGTTTTGTTCTTCAAGACAGCTGGTGGTACATGCACTTGCTACTCTCCGTGATAGATATTCTGGATATTGACTAATGGACATATTCATGGAACCAGTAACCAGAAGGATAGAAATAAGGAAGATATATGACAACCTAAAATATAAATAATAATAATAATTTTTGCTTTTGATGATACAGCAAGGGATTTTCAGCATTCAGTACAATATTGCATCTAATTTACTGAAAAACGGCAAAAACAAATAAACAATTACATAATAATAATAACAAAACGTTGTTATGACAGCTATTTCGGAAATTACAGTATGCGATACGGAAAAAAATATGCATAAAGGATAAAATTATAGTAATAATAGTAATGACAACTAAAGTAAAATAGAAAACTTATAATTAAAGGATAGAAAGGGTGATACCATAAAATTACAGAAAGATGAACAATGAAAGGGTCGATTCACTTTGCTAATTACATAGCAACTTATATGTTTCACGTCTAACAGTGTCTCTATCACATAAAATACGGGCTAAATACGGTATTGTAGAATTTTTGTACTTAGTGGTTCGAGCATATAACTTCTTATATTGACTTCTCGTCCCACCTGATGAGATGCGAGGGGATAGTTGTGAATAAAGGGGGTACTGGGGGTCTGACAGTACGACCTCTGGCCACTTTGTACAGGAATTTATGTGTCTCTCGACTATAGTATTGGCGAGCTGACGCAGTGGCATACTGCAAGCCCTACTCACAGCATTTAATACCCTTCGTAATATGATATAGTCTTTTTTGAGAAGCCCAGGACAGATAAATGGAGAGCAATAGAGTACAATAGGTAAAATACAGCAGTTTACAAACGGCAAAATTAAAGGTTGGTTGATACCTGATTGTCTAAGATTTTTAATATATATATTGTTCAAAAACTACCACAAAATAATACTGAAAAATCGATCAGATTTTTGGATAAGTAGTTTCTAATGTGTTGAGTGTGTTAGGAATCTCATTTAGTCATATAAGTATATTTCTTTTTGACTTACCGCCAGATTTCAATATCTCTGAGATTCACAGACTAATTGTTAGATTTTATTTGAAAGTAGATAAACAAAATTCTCAGAGGATATTTATTCTACACTCTTTTAACTTAGTTAATTGTATATTCTAATGTTTTACTGAAATGACATTATGGTAATAAATTACAATCAAATTGTTTTGTTATTCAAATATGAACTCTTTATAAGTATTGATTTTTCATATTTCAGATCTTTCAATCTCAAATATTAAAAATTATTTTACTTTTATGTATTTCAGTTTACTAGAGAGAATTATGTAAATGAAAAATGTAACGTTTACAAGGGTAAATAAAATGATAGATTTGTCTATTTTGCATTGGCAAAATAAAATGAATGATATCCTCAAAGATCAGTCCAAATTTCTGTTGGACAATGCTACTGACAATCCGCTGATTGTGAAAAAGCAGATCAGTTGTCAGCTTCAGATTTTACTGATGCATGGTTTTACAAATGAAAAACTTTATAAACAACTTAAAGCAATTTGGTCACATACTCCTCGGCAGCATGACCTTCCAAAGATTCACAAAACTGGGAACCCACTGAAACCCATCTTGGACATGTCGAATTCTCAATACCATAAAACCGCACAATGGATTACAGAGGGCTTTACGCCTGTAAGAGACTCACTATCAAATCATTCTGTGAAAAGTTCATTTGATCTGACAGATATGCTTGACACCTTGAACATTAAGGACAAGGTTATGTGTTCAACTGACATAGAATCTTTATTCACCAATGTTCCTATTCATGAAACTGTTGATTTCATTTGCGATTAGATCACAAGCAATAGTATAAACTTGCCTATTCCTGTCACTTACATCAGAGACATCATCTTAATGTGTACAGAAAATATTAGATTCACCTTCTAAGAAAAGGTATACAAGCAGACCGATGGTGTTGCGATGGAGAGTCCTATTGGGCCCTTGTTAGCAGATATATTCATGTCGAAATTGAAAAAACAAATGCAAGGTACGCTTGGAGAATTTATGCCGTATAAACATTATGTGGATGATACTCTCATTATTGGTAATAATAGTAAATCTATTGAAAACTTTATTACCCTATTTAATCATATTCATCCAAATATCCGAGTGATTTCCGAACTCGAATCGAATAACAAACTCGGTTTTCTGAATATTACTATGACTAGGAGAGATGATGGAACGATTCAAAGACCTATTTTTCGTAAACAGACATGGAGTGGACAATATCTTCATTTTACCAGTTTTGTTCCGATCCAGTATAAACGTTCCCTAGTGAAATGTTTGTTCTCAAGGCCCGAAAAATATGCACGAGTGACATATTGATGTATGAGTTTCGACATATACATTCAGTTTTATTAGCTAATGGTTATCCGGAAAACTTTATCACTTGTCACAGTAAAGAAAGACCATATCTCGAAAAGACAGCTTCTGTACCGTACCATAGAAAGTTATCTTTATTAACCTACCATTCAAGGGTGACCAAATTATTCAGTTGATAGATAGCTCAAAGACTTCGGTCAGTCATCAAACGCTCATTCTACGCCGCATCTCTTTTTCTCACTTGCCGAACATTTTCGATCCCTGTACCTACGATTAAAGGATGAAATTCTGTGAACACTACTTCAAACTGTATCTACAAGTTCACCTGCAGCTGTGGTGGCAACTATACAGGTGGAACCAACAGAATGTTTCAATGTGGTCATCGAAAAGAACATGTTCCAAAATGGCTACTAAGTCATATAGAAAATCCCAATGCGATTAATCTGAGTAAGAAATCCAGCATCATCATCCATTGCAAAACACTTATTTATGTCTGGTCACAAAATCAATATTAATGACTGTTTCACAATTATTTTAACGCATAACTCTAATTCAAGGTTATTGAAGGTGATGGAAGCACTTTGGATTAATCATATACAGCCTAAACTGTGTGTACAAAAAACAATAGACTTCAATCTTCACCTACCATGGACAACATGACCTATCTAAATATGATTGGTCATTAGTATGTACTTTTGTTTTTTATTTAACTGAGTAATTGTCATGATTTTTATTTTATTATTGTTAACCATGTTAGTTGTAAAGCGGTTGTAAAGAAACTACTAAATGACAATATCATCTCGCGAAATTTGTCTTCTATACAATCATTTAGCAGTGAAAACAAGTACTGACTTCTTTGCCTTAAATTTTATCCATTCACATTAAAATTTCATCATTTAGTAAAAGAAATCTTCATTCCATGTTACCTGGAGTATAACAATATGATAAAGTAAGGAGAAGCCTGTTTTATAACGGAAGAAATATTTTTTGTATGTTCACATCAAACAATAAACTTGTCAGTTAGAAGCATGAATTGTATCTGCCAGCTGTAGTTTTTGATCTCAAAAAATATTGTTACAAACATAATTCTTCCATTAATGCCAGTTAAATGTTTGGGCATCGTGCAGTAGATCAAATAAATTATAATTATATTTCAGTAGTTTACAAGATCGTCAGTGGTACAGTGGTAGAATGTTTGACAATCACACAGGTGGTTCCGGGTTCCATCCCTGGATGACGCACTCCTTTACCTTGCTAAGTCATGAGGCTAGCAACTTCACCCCACTGCTACCGAAACTTTAAGCCTCTAACCTGAAGCCTTATGTTCCACTGTGAACGTAAAGGAATGAAAAAAAGTTGACACAATTTGTGATAAGTTTTCACTTTAGGAGTATTTTGAACAAAATTACCGCTAGGGATCACACCAACTGTTGGAATTGTTTGATTTTATAATTCACACTTCTATGATTTGTAATCATATATGCTTACATATAGTTCATTTTTGTTCATTCATTTCTGTGTGTTGTCACTCGGTCAACCCTGACCATGATTTCAAGATCATTTATAGAATCCATGCTAACTTCCTGCTTTTTCTTCGCTACAGACTTCTAAAGACAGCTGAGGCCTTGGCAATTCATGACTATAAGCTAGACCTTTGTGTACAAAAGAAGTATGTATAATCCTTACTTTCGCCTTGGCCGTAGATGAATGGACATTTATTTATTTTGTTTATTTAGTTATTCTGCGTACCTTTCCCTTATTACTACAATTATTATTATTACTATTCTCGCTCTGAATTGTTTCCACCTGTCATTTTAAGCCCAAAGTTATTAATTTGTATATTTTTTTTGTTTTTACAGAATATTGAATTCCATCTTATCAAATTTCACACCATGTTTTGGAACATTTTATATTCGTCTACAAACCCTACAATTATGTACCCCTTTCCAAAATCTATACACCTTATGTATTATTCTATATATGACATTAGTTATTTTGCCACTTGACATTAAACTATGATTATAATCACAAATATTCTAATTGCATTTCATACTATTAATATTATTACTTCATGTATTCACACCTTTGACCTAATTCCCTCACCGGATATAATTTCTCAAAAACCATAAATATACGATTGTACATCTTGACAATAAATTCGTTGAAAAGAGTCTCTTCGCTGAATGTTGTGTTCTTAATGCTACAATGGAAATTATTAAATCATTTCTGTGTATCTAGAATTATATTTCAGGTTGTTGACAGTTGTGCTGAGCCACCGTTGTTACATGTATCCGGTGTCATCCTAATGAATAAAGATGCTTTTATTTGTATGTCTTTCCATTTATTCCCCCCCCCCCCCATACTTTCGCTAAATACTCTTTCTCAGATTCTGAATGCTTATCCTCCATGTGTTTTAGAATATGACTGACATATACGACAACTTCAACTATATCTTAGCACTGCACTTATTCCATAGTCACTGAAGTCCGCAGACACCATTAAATGCTTCCTAGGGACATTAGAGGTAATCTGAAGAAACCAAAAAAATATTGGGATTCCCCACCATGTAGAAATGAAATAAATAAACTAAAAGACCCAATAAAAATTATGGATAAAAATAATGTAATTTACAAAATATCTTGTACTGAATGTATGACTAAATATGGGGGTCAAATGTCTAGATCACTCAAAATAAGAGTGAATGAACGTGAATCGCACGAGATGTAAGCCATCGTTCGAGTAGAATCCTGATGGCAAGTGACGAGTGAG